AGCGCACGCGGGGGCCCTGCACCGGCTCACACGCTCACGTCGGTCGCCAGCAGGGTCCGCAGAGGCAGCGCTTCTGTCTGTCGCAGCATGAACTCCAGGGGGGTGTGACGTGTCCATGGGGCGCTCCATTATTCTCACACATATTCCAAAGGGAAACGCGGATGAGAAGTAGGGAAGGCACTTTCCGAGCGGAACTAGACCTCCCACCATGCAGGGTCACGTAACCAACAGAACGGGCCCACATTCCACGCACGGGTGGCCTGCGGATCTTTATGGAGAAATGTGGAGGTTTGTTGGGAAGCATGTGCTGTTATTATAAAACTGTAGGATACGCTGGATTAAACTATGTTTTAAATGTGTTGTTATTGATTTTTAGAAGAGAGGAAGGGAGAGGGAGAGAGAGAAACATCAATGATGAGAGAGAATCATGGATCGGCTGCCTCCTGCACGCCCCCTAGTGGGGATCTACCTTGCAATCCGGGCCTGTGCCCTGACCGGGAATCGAACCGTGACCTCCTGGTTCATAGGTCGATGCTCAACCACTGAGCCACACTGGCCAGGCTGGATTAAATTATGTTTAAAAGGGTTTCTTGACTGTAGGGCTTCTCAGAGCCTTTGACCCCTAATGAGGACTCTGACCTATACAGTGTTTGCCAATCCTGTTTGACCAAATTCCTCTCAACAACCCTCATGACTACACTATACAGAACATCTGTTTCCCAACGTTGATACGTCTGTGGGAATTTTCACTCGTGTCCACGACCAGGTACAGAAGCTGGGACGGTTGCCGGCCGTCCCAGGCCTCCCGTTTCTGGGAGGGGGCAGGGTTCGAGTTCAGTACGAAGTCTGGGTCCAGTGTCCTCCTGGATGGGACTCGCGCAGGGTTGGTGACACGCATGTGCCCTGATTGTAGGAGCACGGATCACACGTGTGTGCCAGAGCCCCACAGGGTCCGATGCCCGCTGATCCCCAAACACGCTCCCCTCTTGTTGGGAGGCGCTGGCTGCCACCCACCCGACGTTGAAGTCCTGATACTCCTGTTGCCATGAGGGCGCCACTTCCAGGGCCTTTGCTGAAGTCGGGTGATGGGGGATCCGCGGCCCCTTGGACCTGTGCTGCGGGTGGAAGTGGGTTACGGGGAATCCTGTGAGGGCGTAGCGCCCAGGGGACCCACGCCTCCTGGCAAGACTGAGCTGCGGCCTCGGTGTGGCCTCCGTCACGGCGCCCACGGAGATTCAGGGGGCACCTCAGCCGGCACCTGGGAGGGCACAGCCTCCGGGGGCTCCCTGTCTCCTGTTGCTCAAGGCTCCAGGGGGCTGCACTGTAATGAAGGCTGTACGTTGCGGTGCCTGTTTTCCTAAATCCTGTTCACAAAGGAGCTCGGGGGGGTGGTGGGGAGAGTACGTGTGTGAGTGTGTGTGTGTGTGCGCTACAGCTTTACTCGGAGGGGGAATTTGTGTTACAGCTTTACTCGGAGGGGAGTGTGTGTGTGTGTGTGTGTGTGTGTTACAGCTTTACTCAGAGGGGAGTGTGTGTGTGTGTGTGTGTGTGTGTTACAGCTTTACTCGGAGGGGATTGTGAGTGTGAGTGTGTGTGTTACAGCCTTAGCAGCTGTGATTCTTGGTCTGTTCCATAATCGCTTGCATTTGCTACAAGATTTTGCAGGAATCGCTTCAAAGTAAGCGTAATCCAGGCACATATAATCCATATGACAAACAAACTCTTTAAAAAAAATCTTTGTTGTTGGAAGTATTACCTATGTCCCCTTTTTCCCCCTCCAGCACCCAGGCCTTCAGCACCCACTGCCTGTGTCCATGGGCCATGCACATATGCACACAAGGTCTTTGGTTGATGACCTCCCTCTCCCCCCTGCCCCCGCCTTCCCTTCGAGATTCCGCACTCTTCCTTCTCTTCTGTGTTCCTGTGTGGACAGAAGGCTCCCGGTGCCAACCCAGGGGCCCTACAGGCCTACACACACACACACACACACACACACACACACACACTCCCCTCCGAGTAAAGCAGTAACACACACACTCACACACACACACACACACACATACACTCCCCTCTGAGTAAAGCAGTCACGTGACTTGTTGTTATCTCCTCTTCCAGCCTCGGTAGCGTCCACCTGCAACGACCCAGGCATGCCTCAGAACGGCACCCGCTACGGGGACAGCAGGGAGCCGGGCGACACCGTCACCTTCCAGTGCGACCCCGGCTACCAGCTGCAGGGACCCGCCAGGACCACCTGCGTGCAGCTCAACAACCGCTTCTTCTGGCAGCCGGACCCGCCCACCTGCACAGGTACCGGCAGGGCCAGGCGCACCCTGGGAGGGATGCACGGCCTCGGTCCACTCGCTGGGCAATGGATTGTCTCTTCAGAAACATTTCTTTTCTTTAAATGAGGAAAGGAGAGGGAGCGAGAGATAGAAACATCAATGAGGAGAGAGAACCATTGATCAGCTGCCTCTTGCACACCCCCTACTGGGGATGGACCCCACCACCCAGGCATGTGCCCGACCGGGAGTCGAACCGTGACCTCCTGGTTCATAGGTCAACACTCAACCACTGAGCCACGCCGTCAGGGCCAGAAACATTTCGTAAGGGTTCCTCTCCACCCGCTGGTGCTCTGAACTCAAGCTGACATTTCATTGCAAACCTTTAAGCTCCATTTTATTAGGTGAGATCCAGGGAGTAGTACTTAATATACAGTAATTGACATTTATCTAACAGTTCCTATCCTGAACTCATCTTGTAAAAATAAGAATTAATCAAATTACTATAATTTAAAATTCTGGGTGGCTAAAATTTCATAACCCTCCTATTGCTCTTCTCATTTTTTAATATAGAAACTTGCCCACAAGCAAAACCGACTAGATAGAAAGTACTTTCTCTTTTGAGATGGTTTTTCTATCGTCCTGCTACATTTTAATAGAGTTCTGAAAACTAGAAATCATACTGCTTTTGTCCAAATGAAGATACCAGGAGAAAGTTGTCTCTGAAATGCGCTGGAATTGTCAGAGTTTGGCCTTATTAACATGGAAATGGGTTTTGCAGGCTTAATTTGAATAACAATCCAAGATGTTCTTTCGCAAATATGGCTTTCAGATAATGCGTGTTTTTATGGAAAACAGCAATGCCATGTAGACTGTCCCTCCATTCAATTAAACATTTTACCATGAATAACTATTTAGATGATTTCAACTTAATTTTAAAAAGAAATGCTACTGAACTTTATTATCCTAGTGAACGGTCATAGTGCAATTTGAACTTCTTTATAATCGGCTTCCAAGACGTACAATTTAATTAATCCGTGAAGAGAGACCATGATCATGAAATGAGGGGCACAGGGCTGTCATGTCAAGCCCAGTCCTCAGGAGCACCCACAGATTTCTTCCTCTTTCTTTTTCTTTTCTGTTGTTTTTTTTTTTTTTTGCACTGGAAGATGCATGAATTTTTTTAAAAATATGCTTGTATTGATCTCAGAGAAGAAGGGAGAAGGGAACAGAGATAGAAACATCAATGATGAGAGAAAATCATGGGTCGGCTGCCTCCTGCACACCCCCCACTGAGGATGGAGCCCACAACCGGGGTCTGTGCCCTGACTGAATCTATCTGTGACCTCCTGGTTCATAGGTCAATGCTCAACCATTGAGCCACACTGGCCAAGATCTACCTGTTTGTTTTTAAAAGTGGAGTAATTAGCCCTGACCGGTTTGGCTCAGTGGATAGAGCGTCGGCCTGCGGACTGAAGGGTCCCAGGTTCGATTCCGGTCAAGGGCATGTACCTTGGTTGCAGGCACATCCCCAGTAGGGGGGGTGCAGGAGGCGGCTGGTCGATATTTTTCTCTCATCGATGTTTCTTTCTCTCTATCCCTCTCCCTTTCACTCTGTAAAAAATGAATAAAATATATTTTTTAAAAAATAAAAATAAAAGTGGAGTAATTACCTATAAATGCACCAACCATTTTAAACCACTGTCCTGCTTTTCAGTGAAGAAAGGCGCCTTTCAATCCTGTTTTCAGGATTTCCGCTCCCGGGGAGGGACATCCGAAGCCATGCCTCTAGCAGTTAACCTCCCCGAGACCCCTGCTCAGCTGACATTCACTCAGACACCTCATTGTAACATCTGCCCCTCTTTTCACTGAGCTGTGACCTTCGGCGGGTTCCTCTCCGAGTTGCCTAGTTCTGGCCCGTGACTCGGTTATCCGTCCTCAGCAAAGACACCAGGTAGCACTTCACCCGTCTCGAGTGTCAGCTGCAGGGACACGCCCCGGTCGCTGCAGCAGCTGCATGCCATGTGGGCAGCGGCCTCACCTGGTTAGTTGAGTAACAGTCACGCTCAAACCACAGCAAGTACATTCCGCGGGTCCGCGGTGCGGAAAGCCTCCTCAGCAGGAGGGTCACGGCATCCCCTCTGCTCACAGTCACGGGACGTGCCGACCTCCTGGTCGTGGCCTTTCCTCGGCGAGTCCGGGGCGCCTCCCGGCACACTGACCGCTGTCCCCTCTCCCTTGTCCTCGTTGGCAGCCACCTGCGGCGGGAACCTGACCGGCCCGGCGGGGGTCATCCTGTCCCCCAACTACCCGCAGCCGTACCCTCCCGGCAAAGAGTGTGACTGGAGGGTGAGGGTGAACCCCGACTTCGTCATCGCCTTGATCTTCAAAAGGTATCTCTCCCGTTGAACACCTTTTTATTTTTATTTTGTTTGATTTCTATTTATTTATGTATTGTTACTCCACATCTGAAGATTTTTTTCCATTAATTTTTAGAGAGAGTAGAAGGGAGAGAGAGGCAGAGAGAGAGAGAGAGAAACATTGATGTGAGAGACACCTCAATCGGCTCCTCCCGCTCACCCCCCACTGGGGATGGAACCCACAACCCGGGCCTGTGCCCGGACAGGGAATTGAACCCTGACCTCCTGGCTCAGGGGTTGACGCTCAGCCACGGAGCCACACGGCCGGGCAGAGCCCAGCTCTTGAAACCTCATTTCAGTCCGAGGTCCCGGTGCAGAGAGGGACAGTCTGTTCCTGAGCCCCGAGCCCTGCCGGCCTCTCTCAGGGATGCTGTTACATGTGACAGCCACGTGACTATGAATGCATCTGTGGCCACTGATGTCTGTTAGCGTTGTTCCTGTCTCGACCTTTTGGTTCTGTTTCACTTCTGGATTGTTCTGATTTTTAAAAGTCACACGAAAGGCAGAGCCCCCTTGCGCTGGGAGACTGGCCTGGGCGGCAGGAGCACACGGGGAGGCCCTGACGGGCTTCCTTCTCTTTAGCTTCAACATGGAGCCCAGCTACGACTTCCTGCACGTGTACGAGGGCGAGGACTCCAACAGCCCGCTCATCGGCAGCTTCCAGGGCTCGCAGGCCCCCGAGCGCATCGAGAGCAGCGGCAACAGCCTCTTCCTGGCCTTCCGGAGCGACGCCTCCGTGGGCCTGTCCGGCTTCGCCATCGAGTTCAAAGGTACCACGTCCAGCATCCAGGCCCCCGCTCCAGGCCCCTCCGGTCACTCCTGCGGGAAGAGGGCCGGGCCGGCGGGCGCGTGCAGGAGGCAACCAATCCATGTGTCGCCCACATCGATGTTCCTGTCTTTCCCTCTCTCTCCCTCAAAGAAAAATATCCTTGGGTGAGGATAAGAGAGAGAGAGAGAGAGAGAGAGAGAGAGAGAGAGACACATCAATTGTGTGTCTCTCAAGTCAGATTCCCCGCCTCTTCCCAGGCAGCTGAGGTGACTCGGTACAAAGTCAGGAAGTGAGCTTCAGTTTTTCCAGAATCAGTGTTTTTGGTTCAGCACCAAGGTCTGTAGTTAACGGAAGGATGGATGGAGAAAAAGGAAGTGCTGCCTTTTCTTTTAACCAAGAATAAGTAATTGAATAGCAAGTGTGCAGTAAGATGTAGTTTGAAAACAGAACTATAATTTGATTAAAAGTTTTTCTATGATATTTAGTTATTAACTGGGTAATTAGTAACCTGATCATCTTTCCTAGTATATGTAATTACTAACTTGATAATTAATTAACAACTTGGTCCTTAGTTGATCGGTAAATATTTTTTGAGCATTTTTCATATGTTGGGCTCTAGTCTAGGCACTAAAAAACAATCAACCAGACAGCCAAACACACAGGAACATTAAGGCCCGCCCCCGGGGTCACCCACCCTCACGGGGTCACCCGCCCTCACGGGGTCACCTACCCTCACAGGGGTCACCCATCCCCACGGGGGTCACCCACCCCCACAGGGGTCACCCACCCTCACGGGGTCACCCGCCCTCACGGGGTCACCCTCCGTCACGGGGTCACCCGCCCTCACGGGGGTCACCCGCCCCAACGGAGGTCACCAGCCCCAACGGAGGTCACCAGCCCCAACGGAGGTCACCTGCCCTCACGGGGGTCACCCGCCCCCATGGGGTCACCCGCCCCCACAGGGGTCACCTGCCCCCACGGGGTCACCCGCCCCCACGGGGTCACCTCCATTTCTCCTGCAGAGAAGCCCCGGGAAGCTTGCTTTGACCCTGGGAACATCATGAACGGGACCAGAGTCGGGACGGACTTCAAGCTGGGCTCCTCCGTGACCTACCAGTGTGACCCCGGCTACAGAATCCTGGACCCTGCGTCCATCACGTGTGTGATCGGAGCGGACGGGAAGCCGGCCTGGAACCAGGCCCTGCCCACCTGCAGCGGTACGTGCGCGTGTGTGACAGGCTGCCCCGCCTTACCTCCTGCAGGTCCAGCTCAGTCACAAGGGCCCTCAGCACAGCTCCTCCTGCCCCCCACCCCACCTCACCTCCGCAGGTCCAGCTCAGTCACCAAGGGCCCTCAGCACAGCCTCTCCTGCCCCTCAGCCTCACCTCCTGCAGGTCCAGCTCAGTCACAAGGGCCCTCAGCACTGCTCCTCCTGCCCCTCAGCCTCACCTCCTGCAGTTCCAGCTCAGTTACTAAGGGCCCTCCGCACTGCTCCCTGGTCTGCGGTGGGGATCACTTGCTCGCAGAGCTAAGGAGAGAAATGCAGGCGACCTTCCTCCGTCCTTGAATCAGCCAGGCCTCAGCCATCCTCCCAGTACCTGGAGGGGGCTGTTCCTCTCCCTCAGAGAGTTCAGCATTTTTACTCCCCTTTTGTGTATCTGACCTACATAGAGGCACCGATGGACAGTCTCCAGGTGTGCTCTCTCTGTCTCTCTCTTTCCCTCCCTTCCTCTCTCCATTTATACATACGCAGTATACATAGATGGCACATGTACACATAACATTAAAATGAATGTGTCACTTCCCCCCACAATCCAATAGCTTGTAACTCCTTATGTAGATATTAAATTGATAAAATCACCTATTGACGGTCAGATCCACCTGCGAGAGCAGACAAAAGTCCCCTCCAGTGACAGGAGCCAGAGTAATGCCCCTGATCTCATACATGGGGAAGGGCCTAGGGAACATAGTTCATCTCAAATCATTAAAACTCCCATTTCTCTATTTATTATTGTTATTTTGTATAGTTGAAATTTTGAAGATTACATTTTATTAAATTGATCTTTACATATATATATACACACAGACACATGCATAAAGGGAAACATACATTTATTATATGTTTAAATCTATATTAAATATATGTGTATCACATATAAATACATGTATATGTAAAGAGTAGTATACATATATGCAATGTCGATTGATAATGGAATTCTGTGCACTTGTTAGCACTGGATAGTGTGTGATTTTTGTAGCAAATCATGGTTATGAATTATGGAGGCCGGTTTACGAGCCAGCGCATTCTGTTGATCTACTTCACGGAAAATGCTGACCGACAATGAATGTAAGTTGTGTTGACTGCGTTAGGAGGTTTATAAAGCAGGCACATGTTAGTCCTTCTTCCCCGGGCTCATTCATAACTGAAAATAACGATACATACGTACACTCACACACACTCAGACACTCACACACACTCATACACTCACACACACTCACATAGACACATACTCTCACACACATACACTCACACATAGACACATAGACACATACTCTCACACACATACACTCACACACACTCACACACTCACACACACTCAGACACACACTCACATAGACACATACTCACACACACATACACTCAGACACACACACTCAGACACACACTCAAATAGATACACACACATAGACACACACACAAACTCACACATACACACTAAGACACATGCACTCACATGAACACACAAAACATAAACACACAATCACACATACTCTCACACACACATGCTCACAAACTTACACACAGACACTCAGACACACACTCACATAGACACACACTAACATAGACACACACACACTCACAAACTCAGACACACTCGCAAATACACAGACATACACAGCTCTGTTTTAATTAACACCCCACCATCATGTTGCCCCTAACTTTCTAGGTTTGAGTTGCTTCAGCTTTAAATCAATCTTTTTGAGAGACCACCCCCACATTAGTAATTATATATGTTGCTCTTGAACTGAATCTAAGGTATTAAAGGCTGAAAAGAACACAAAAACTAGAAAGAAAACTCTTTTCTTTGACTCCCATAGTAATATAAAAACAGAAAAACAAAAACAAAAAACAAAATCCCTGAAATAATCCATGTATCTCTGAATACAGTGATTGACCAGACATGGCTGGTGAGACTTTAAATAGCCTAACAATTTGCCTTCATTGAGCCCATTATTGTTATTATTTGAGCTCTTTTCATGATTATTTTAGCTTGTCTGAGAAAGGCTTAAAATAATATTGTCTTCCTGCTAAATTAACGTGCTTTTATTCTAACCTGGTAAATACCTGTGTTCCTTTTTCTCTGACTTTGGAGAGCAAAGTGAAGTCGGCTTTGGACGGTAACATCCTGGACGTTTTAGGTGACACCCTGCTCCCTGACGGGGGCGTTGGCCTCCGGCCCTGTCCCGGCGGCGTCCTCCACGCACGTAATTCTGGTCGCTTTCCCTTCCAGCTCCCTGTGGTGGCCAGTACACAGGGTCCGAAGGCGTGGTGCTGTCCCCCAACTACCCCCAGAACTACACGGCCGGCCAGACGTGCCTGTACTCCATAACGGTGCCGAAGGAATTCGGTAAGACTGTCTTTGTACTTTTAATTCATTGTCATGCTTTTCATTGGTGTTCATTGTTCTACCTTTGTCCCTGTATGATTGAGTACACACACACACACACACACACACACACACACAGGCTGTTACAGTGGGGTTGCCTCTGTTACACACACAGACACACAGGCTGTTACAGTTGGGGTTGCCTTCGTTACACACACACACACACACACACACACAGGCTGTTACAGTGGGGGTGCCTCTGACACACACACACACACACACAGGCTGTTACAGTTGGGATTGCCTCTGTTAAGCGCGCGCACACACACACACACACACACATACACATGCACGCACGAGCTGATACAGGTAGATTTGCCCGCTTGCTGGCGCTCACCTTATTCTTTCATTAGAACTGTGATGTGTGTGTTTGGCACACGTGCCTCCATTTACTGCTCACCATGCTGTGGAGTGGTTGTAGCTTCGCCCTGACACATAAATAAGATTTAGTTGCTCATTGTCAGTCGATGCTAAATCACACATTTTTGTCAATATCATGAAGGCCCAATATGCTATTGGTTTGAGTGCAAACCTGAGGAGGCGTGAAGTAGGAAAGTCCGCGGCAGGGACCTCCGTGGGGGAGCTGAGCTCTATGACCCTCCGGCCGGGAGCGAGACAGAACGCCCAGCGCAGTCACAGCAGCCTTGTCCGCACTGTGTTGCTGAGTCATGTGTACACACTGCAAGGAAGTTACAGGAATTAGGCATGAAAATAACCGCTTTTAAGAGTTTCACATCCCTTCCCGAATGAGCCGGCTTCCCAACCCAGCGGTGTCTTGATCCCTGTACCAGTGTCCAAGCTCTCACCTAAACAGGCCACTTTGCGGTGACCCTGCCAGCACCCTAAAGTGAAGTTAAAGGAAACCAGCCTCGTTAATGTCAGACATACAGACAACCATCATCTTACGCCTCCCACTCGGCACCAAACATCAAGGGACAACGCACAGTAGCCATAGCCACGGAGACGCTTTAGGAAGCTGGGAAATGAGTCCTGGGCCCCGGCCTTCGGAGGGACCGGTCCCTGTGCAGGGCGGCCAGAGCCCCTTTCCCCTCTAAGCGTGTCGCCCCTTCGTCCGCAGTCGTGTTCGGGCAGTTCGCCTACTTCCAGACGGCGCTGAGCGACGTGGCCGAGTTGTTCGACGGGACCCACCCGCAGGCCCGGCTCCTCAGCTCGCTCTCCGGGTCCCACTCAGGTAAACACCAGAGAGCCCGTCTTTACTTTCATTCAGATGGGCATGCGATTCACTCTAAACTCTGTGTTTGTGCTTGTGTGCGCACGCATGTGTGTATGTGCGTGTATGTGCGCACACGCGTGTGCGCATGTGTGTGTGCACGTGCGTGTGTGTTTGTGTGTGCATGCGTGCATGTGTGTGTGTGTGTGTGAAGGAGAAACTTAGTAATCCTTGAGTGTGTTTGTTTGTTTAGTAAAATTTTATCATTGATAAGAAATGGGCAGTGGACCTTTATCCCGTAGACAAAGCCATCTGCTTTGATCGTTGCACTTACTAAGATTATAAAAAGTAGGATATCCATCTCAATAAAAGTGGAAAATATCCAAGAGAAAGGATTAACTGGGATGTTTTTAATTTCTATTCTATGTGTTGGGATCTTCTTCCTGGAGCTAAACAGTATGAACATTTTGGTCTCACTCATTTGACCCCTGCAAATACATAGGAATAGACCAGGGGTCCTCAAACTTTTTAAACAGGGGGCCAGTTCACTGTCCCTCAGACCGTTGGAGGGCGGGACTATAGTTTAAAAAAAAAAACTATGAACAAATTCCTATGCACACTGCACATATCTTATTTTGAAGTAAAAAAACAAAACGGGAACAAATACAATATTTGTATTTGCATGTGGCCCGTGGGCCGTAGTTTGAGGACCCCTGGTATAGACCCACTACATCCACACGTGTAACAGTACATGTGTTTATCACATGTGTGTGCACACATCCATGTATGTGTGCATGTAAACATAGTTGGGCTTCATGAAGCACAGAATATTAGTTCACAACTTATTTGGGTTCCGTATTTTCACTTAAGAGGACCTGTGTAGGTCTCCCCATCAGACCACACGTGCAACCAACGTCACTGGTGTTTGTTCCAAGTGGTTTTCAGACGAATACGCCAGGCGGGTGTGTTCCCTGGGCCTCGTGACCCCGGCTCCTGTCTGAGGCCTTGCTGTGTCGAGCAGCCACCCGAGCACAGTGGCCCCTCTGTGGCCATCGGTCAAGGCCTGGCGGCTCCCAGTGTCCACTGTCGTTAACCAAAGGCCGCAGAGCCCGAGTCTTGATCATTTCTACCCAAGTCCAACGGGGCGCTGTCAGAACGGCATCAGGAGACGCCATTGACAACACGGACACAATTGAAATCCCACATCCCTTAGGGACACATTGAAATCCCACATCCCTTAGGGACGCATTGAAATCCCACATCCCTTAGGGACACATTGAAATCCCACACCCTCACAGGCCCGGCAGTGTGCTTTGAACCTGTGTTTTAATCCGAAGGCGGACATGTATTTTGTGAGGTTTTTCCTAAATCCTTTCATTTTTAAAATCTCAGCTTTGGACTCAGAGACGTTTTGTTAAGTAAAACCTCAGCGAGTAATTGTCAAATATGGTTGATTCTGCGACAGTGATTTAGTCAGTTCTTAGTTTCCCGCCTTATCGGCTGCCAGACCCATCATCCCTGAGCTTTTCCAAACGAAAGCGGACGTGAGATCCCGGTTAGAACAGCACCTCCATGGGACACGTGGGCGAGAGCAGAGCTGGACAGTCCTTCTGGAAAGGATGGGCGGGGTTGTAAGCCCTAAAGTGCGGTCCTAGGAGAGTTCAAAGCCTGCACGTCACATTCCAAGCGAGGGACTTCTCTCCAAGACATACCGTGGCCGCAGCAGCGTGCACGTGCGGATCTGCACAGTGTCTCTGTTCTCCCGCAGGTGAGACGCTGCCCTTGGCGACGTCCAATCAGATTCTGCTCCGATTCAGCGCGAAGAGCGGGGCGTCGGCCCGCGGCTTCCACTTCGTGTACCAAGGTAACCCTCCAGGTCACCCTGCCGCCTCCCACCCCAGACCTCGGTCTCCCGTGGAGGCACAGACTATGCCCCACTTCCATTTTTTTGTTTGTTTTTTAAGAAATTGAAGACATTCATTTATTTATAACAAAAACATTTTATCAAAATATTAACATTATTAGTTTGACACAAATCTATTTCTACTGCAAAGACAAATGCCCCCTGATTTCTCTGGCCCGTGCAGGCAACAAATAGTGTTCAGATTACTTTTGCACGGCACCTCCCACTTTGCAAAACGATTTCAACTATATTTCAGTTTATCTAAGAAAAATATTTCATACAAGTTTAGATTTTAGTAACTTTTAAGGGAATACATAAATGTTATGTTTCCAAATCGTATTGCAAAAGCTAATTGAAAAGGCAATTTGACAGAACCCAGTAGGATGTCCCTGCGTCTGCCCCTCTAAACAACTACTTCGTTCTGTTTGTGTTCTGTTACCTTCTGGATTTCTGCCCCGTATGTTTATTCTTTAACGTGGGGCTTGTCCACAGCGTGTGGGATCGCCCCAGGTTCCCAGAACGCGAGGCCTTTTTCCTCCTTCTGTCCCCTGTGTGTGGATGCTCACCCCGCGCGTGGGGCCCAGGGCAGGGGTGGCTCTGCTGTGCCAGGGCCTCCAGGCCGGGCCGACAGGCTGCTGCAGGGAGAGCTGCGCCTCAGACGGGAGCGGTCCTACCTTTCCAGGTCCCGGTTCTGCTTGGGCCTGGGAGCTGGCCCGGCTCCCGGAGGTTTTCCTCAGGAGCCGGAGTCACCCCCCAACAGGGGCTCCTGCAGAAACCGGTGACGTCATCGGGATGTTCAGAGAGTTTCGGAGAAGGACAATCCGTCCTGTCATTTACATTCGAGGCATCTCCCACCGCGTGTCCCTGCCCTGCACGTGGGCCGAGAGAGAAAACCCTGGGTGATCAGAAATCCAGCGGCTGAGAAGGTGATGGGCAGGGAGCATGGTGTTCGCACGAGTGGGAGGGAAAGAGCTCTGAGCCAGGCCACGTGGCCGCGGCTTGAATGATGCTGTGACGCTGCTGCTGAGTTAGAATTAGTCCCTTTGCTCTAGGCCAGTGGTTGCCAGCTGGTGGTCAGCAGGCCACTGGTGGTCTGTGAGGCCCGGAAGGCTGGTGCCCGCTGCTATGCCTTTTGTTAAAATGTAAGTAACTCACCTGGTATTTAAAAATGGACCCGAATGGAGGGTAGCCCGTTTGGCAACTCACCACTCACCACTACAAACGTTCTTAAAACAAGTTCAGTATCCCCTTCTGTGGAAGCAGGTTTATAAACCGTGGTCCGTGCAGGTGACATACAAAGGATCTACACGTTCAAGTCATTTCCATCTGGAAAGTTTCAGGTTCCGGGCCCCGTCGGCCTGACCGCAGCCTCCTTTGATTTTTTTTTAAATAGAGATTAGAACCTCAATCAGATCATCGCATAAAATATCCGAGGCTAATGTCTATCCTCTTTGCAAATGCTACACTTCAAAGCCTTCATTCTTAAAACGGGTTCCTGCTTAAAGTAGCGTATTATCATTAAAATGGATAAAATACAGGAACATAGACACCAAAGGCAGTGATGTATAGCGAATGCCTTCTCCTTGTACTTAAGAATCATAATGACTCCCGCATCCTCACTATTTCACAAAATCCCAGCATACCCTCTCGCCTTGCTGTCTTCCTCCCGTGAGTTTATGCAAAAATGGACTTGTTTGTATCAGGCCTAACCCCTTCAGTCCTACACATGAACTGTCAGATTGAGCATTGCCTCCGAAAGATGGTAATTCTACGGAAGCCTGGAGGTGACGTGACCGTCATTGTACAAAAACATCCCGCATATGGCTCCCAGGTACCAGGGCGGCGGCATTCTTTCCTGCTATTAAAGCATAAGGCCGCACAGGGACTTTCTCGCACCCTCGGCCACGGGATGTCTGACCAGGTTAGCCGACGGGTCTGTTAGGGAGAGCGAGCCTGGAGGGACATCGGGGAAGACGGGGTGCAGGGGTGTAGACCCAGCAAACCCGCAGGGGAGCGGCATGAGCAGTGTGTCACTGTCGCTGGAGGACGGCCCTGGGACAGCACAGCTCTGCACGGTTGTTCATTCTTTACGTGTAGACGGTGTACAGCTCTATGGACTTCACCTTCCCATAGACAATATCTCACCTCTGAATGGAAGTGCAGTTTCATCAGAATAAACGTCTGACTTTCATTCACATAAAATTGCTGCCGCACTGAGTTGCCCACGTGGTGTCTGTGCCACAGAGGTTCAGTGCCCACAGGAGGAGTGTGCTGGGCAGAGCAGTGGAGGGAGGCGTGGCCACTAAAGCGCGTCTGTGGGCGTGTCTCTCCGAGGGCTGGGCTTTTAAAACTATACTCTCACCTCTGAATGGAAGTGCAGTTTCATCAGAATAATCGTCTGACTTTCATTCACATAAAATTGCTGCCGCACCGAGTTGCCCACGTGGTGTCTGTGCCACGGAGGTTCAGTGCCCACAGGAGGAGTGTGCTGGGCAGAGCAGTGGAGAAGGGGGTGGCCACTAAAGCACGTCTGTGGGCGTGTCTCTCCGAGGGCTGTGCTTTTAAAAACTATACTTTTCTTGATTTCAGAGAGGAAGGAGAGGGAGAGAGAGATGGAAACATCAAGGATGAGAGAGAATCATTGATGGGCTTCCCCCTGCATGCCCCACACTGGGGATCGAGCCCGCAACCCAGGCCTGTGCCCTGACCGGGAATGGAACCCTGACCTCCTGGTTCACAGGTCGATGCTCCACCCCTGAGCCACACTGGCCGGGCAGAGAAGCTCAATTTATTAGTGATCTCTTCCCCACGAGCACAGGGTGAACTTTAATTGCCTAAAGGTCCCTGAGATGCAAGGGCCCCCGGGGTCCGCAGGGCGAGGCTGTGGACGGCACGGTTAACCTCCATGCCCGTGATCCTCGGGCAGATGCCCTCACGTCCTCCACGAGGCCACCATGGCGTGTTGTGTGCTTTGCCCCCAGCGGTCCCTCGCACCAGCGACACCCAGTGCAGCTCGGTGCCCGAGCCCAGGTACGGCCGCAGGATCGGCTCCGAGTTCTCGGCGGGTTCCATCGTGCGGTTCGAGTGCAGCCCCGGGTACCTGCTGCAGGGG